AGAAAAAACCTTAACTACAAGCAGGAAATTCTATGGTACAATCAAGTTGTTATGGCAACTAGAACAGTCAGAGAAAAGGACATAGAACATGCATAGTTGTAATCCTGCCAACAACATAATCCTGTTATTAAAATTCATTAAAGGACTGACATTCATACCACTGATCTTTAAAAAAATGTTAAAGTGACATCACAGCTAGAATCTCAACTAGTGATGGCAAATCCTCCCCCAAGTTTAATTCAGAATGGCCTTGACTAATCTACATTATTTATCCAAAACTCAGAATCCAGTGTTTTGGAGCCCATTCTGAAGTTTAGACTCTGCCATTCTCCCAAAGATGTACACAATGGAACCTAAACTACTAGCCATGGTAGTCATGTGCTACCACCACTGCTGGGCTCAGTATGTCTCTGAATACCAGCTCCTGGAAATCACAAGTGCAGGGAGGGCTGGTACGCTCATGTCCTGCTTGAGGGTTCCCCATAAGCACCTGCTTTTTCACAGTAAGAACAGCATGCTGGATCCAACCACCACAAGACCCTGAGCCTTGCCCAACCAAACACTTTTCTTCCCTTGAAACTTACTAAGCAATCTCAAGCAAAATTTCTGCAAGGCCTACATTACTCTTAGTATCTAGAACACTGAAATGGCAGCACCACAGTGCCAGGAAACCTGGGACATGCCGCTTCCAGACCACCAGAAAGCTTAAGAACAATTGTCAAGCACAATGGGATATACACACCCAGAGCTCCATGTGGCTTGTTGCCATCATCAGCTAGGTTTTAGGGGTTAGGAGGGCAGGGATGGTGGAGGCAGTCCTGGTTCCAAGGTGAACATCATCATCATAATTTATACCCCGCCCATCTGGCTGGGTTTCCCCAGCCACTCACATTATGAGCCATGCCCAACATTTCATCCAGTTTCTGCTTGGCTTGCTTTGGCATAAGGATTTCTTAAATTCACCTTTAGGAGCTATCCAATTTCAAATGTTGGCAATACAGTGGTACCTCGGGTTACTTACGCTTCAGGTTACAGACTCCGCTAACCCAGAAATAGAACCTCAGGTTAAGAACTTTGCTTCAGGATAAGAACAGAAATTGCGTGCCAGCGGCGCAGCGGCAGTGGGAGGCCCCATTAGCTAAAGTGGTACCTCAGTTTCAGGTTAAGAACGGACCTCCAGAACAAATTAAATTCTTAACCTGAGGTACCACTGTATCACTAATCCAAATTCCTGAACTTCATTTTTTCCTGCAGTTTATACATGGTATATATGGAATCTGGTTACAAAATAAAAGCTAATTTTATCTACCTCCTTTTCAGAAGCTCCTGGCTCCTCAAAGCCACAAAGGTGTAGTTTGCCAATATGGTGGTGGGAAGCTAGATTCAGCCGGTGGGCCAGATTCTTACCATCCCACGTGGGTTAACTTTGACAAGTAGGCAGAGCCACACGCCTACCAATCACCTGACACCATTATGACATCAGGTGCCAACTTCGAAGGAGCTCACGGCAACCGCCAATCAGCTGATTAAAGTCTGATTGCAGGCAGTTTGAATTCAAACCACAAAAGGACAAAGGGGGAGGTCACTAGCAGCTGAACTACAAAGTTCCCAATGGAGAACTCCCTTACGCAGCCTCTCAGTGAGGCCTGCTCCCAGCAGCCATCAGTGAGCCCTACTTGCAAAAGAATAATTAGGAGCTCACTTTTAGCTGCTGGTGGTACTTTTGGAGTAGCATCCTTTGCAATTGCACACCCAACACCTGACATCCCATATTCTAAAAGCAACATGTGAAAGATGTGTGCACACCTTCTCACCCAGTCAACTGCAATCTAGAAGATAAGAGAGCTACCTGGAGGTCTCTTGTATGACAGTCTCACTCTGCTCCAGCCCAAATACTCTAAAATCCCTCACTCATGAGGAAAGAGCAGCTGAGTAGTGTCAGTGTACCCTTGTCTGCAAGCTGCAGAGGAAGATATGGTGCTCCACTACACATTTGAAGTTGCCTGCAGCTAAGCGTATTTGGTTGGAGGGTTCTAAATAGTTCCATTTCGCAAGTTACATTAACTATACAATCAGAAGTAACAAGAAACACTTAGAAGGATGGTGGCCCTTCATAATTGAATCGGCTGCAGGGGATTTTTAAAAATAAATAAATTACATGTCGCTATTGCTACTTCTCCAGTCTGTTTTGCTTTACTCCAGGGTTCTTTCCATTTTGCAAAGCAAAGTTCTTGTTCACTATTATCACAGATTATTCTTCCAATTTTAAAAAGAGATATGGATGCTTCAAATACAAAATTATATTATAATATATTTTTTAAGGAATGCTTGATTTTTTTACAAAAGAACTAAGCTTAAACAATCTTACCTTAATGTCCAATTAAAAATAAAACAAAAGTATTGTGCTAAAAAGGATACATACATCTTTACAAACATTTACTGATTCTCTTTAGACACAACTAATATAATGTGCAAGAGACTAAAGTGACTGATCAAATTACAGCTTTAAAGACAGATTTAATTTAGTTGAATGATAATCACATATTCAGTTCACAGAGTAGAACTATTCCAACTGAAATAATGAATAATTACCATACAGAAGCAATAACCCCCCCCCCCAAAAAAACATCACAGAACAAAGACTAACAAAAAAGTGAGAGGCTTATTCTATTCATTTTAGCTGCAACTATTCACAAAGACAAAAGAGCTAAAACATTTTATTCAAGCAGCAATGAATCTCAACGAAATATATATCATACAGAAACATGCCACCTGACCCATTCGGCATCCCTTCATGTCACATCAAAATTTAAAATACACTATCTGTTGCAGACACAACACAAAATTACTGGTAACTCATAATTATAATACCATTTTCAGGATATATTTTTAAGGTTGTCGGAAAAAGGAAAAAATTAAAATGACTTCTACAACTTTCCTGTTTCCTTTTTTGAAATTCATTCCAATAATTTTTTTTCAATCATAAGCCCAAACTTTACTATGCATTTTAAGTCACAAAATCATTTTTTCTGGTGCCAAGAACACTTGCCCCTTGAAGACTGGCCTCTAAGTGATGCCAGCAACTGAATCTCCTAAATAGACCCTTCTGTGTAAGGTCTTTGCGCAAGACACAGTCTTCTGCCAGCTTAAAGAGAAGGCAATTTAGGAAGTTAGTAGTGGAAAGTGTTGTGTGGCTCATTCCAACTAATCTCAGCCTAACTTACCTCACAGGGTTGTTGTGGGGATAAAACGAGAGGGGAGAAAAAGAGTATGTCGCCACCATGATCTACTTTAAGGAAAGATGAAATAGAAATCAAATAAATAAATAAATAAAATATTTGCTTTCCTGCCAGTTCTTTCACTCAGCCGTATGAAAGGCACAGTTCAGCCATCAGAAAAGGGCAGGTTCAGGTTAGGCCGAACATGCGTTCGAGTCACCCCACAGAAACAAGTAAACTCTGGGACTGCCAATACTTAAGAACCAAATACATTTCCTAGCTCTGAATGTTTTCTTAAGTATCAAGATGTCTTAATCATGTTTCCTCCATGATTTCCCCAAGATTAATGTGTGTGCGCATACACACACCTCTGCAGATATCTGTGTGAACTGTACGAGCTCAGATAGGGTTTTGCCAAAATAACCCAGTCTTCACATGGGTTTATTTTCATGAGGGTACACAATTAAACGCAATATCATGAACACAGGCAAAACACACATTGCCTACTCTGGCTCCAAGTTTCTGCCTTTGATTATGACTCCTGAAACCAATCAACTGAAAAAATTCAGGACAGGGTTAAATCAACAGTGATCATTAACTATGAACTAACCAATCAAAGGAGATGAGCTGGTTAGGGAACAGAGAATTAAACAAACAGAGGTTAAAAAACAGCACTGCGACAAAATGATGAATTACTTATAAACACCAGGGATATGATATCCCTTATATTTTCGTTTTTCTCACCTCTTCCCAAGCAATGGTATTCCCTATTCATAGTGTGCGAGAGGAAAGATTAATAAAATAAAGTCTCTCATACTTTTTTAAAATGATATAACTAGCCTTTTAATAGGGATGTTCAAGCCTAACTTAGAAGTAACTTATCTCATATATATATATATATATATATTTGCTTTCGTAGATTTTCACGGGTACAGGAATGCAGGTTTTGGTGTCCTCGGGTGTCTTCCCGTGTAAAAGTTGGGGTGTCTAGGCGACGTTTCGACGAGGTCTCACTCGTCATCTTCAGGCTGGTGCTTTCGGCTTCTTGTTACTGGAACAGAGCAGGATCTCAGTGTTTGAGTTCCTATAAATACTGTTGAGGAGGTGTGGTGTATAGCCTCCAATGTTCTGGGCAGAGAGGAAGCCAGCCTGAAGATGACGAGTGAGACCTCGTCGAAACGTCGCCTAGACACCCCAACTTTTACACGGGAAGACACCCGAGGACACCAAAACCTGCATATATATATATATATATATATATATATATATATATGAGAGAATAAAAAACACAGGGGCGTTTTATGCATGCATTAAGCAGGAAGGGCTCAACACATGCTAACCTCAAAAGAGCACTATTCACGTGGTAGTAAAATGGGAATGTCTCATTTTAAAATTAAACCAAACAAGTATTCATGGGCTAGAAATCTATTTCAATGGGGGGGGGGACTGAAATGATATATTTACTTGACAATCCCAAGCATCAATAATAAAAATCAGTGGATTACCTTCCAATTAAACATGGTTAAGAATCTTTTTTAAGATTTATTCTGAAATAAACCAATTACTTCATTTTTAAAAAATCTATTTTAAATGCAAATTTTCAGTAACTCCTCTTCTCAGATCCACTTTAATACCTGCTAGCTACAAAAAATAAAGTCAGACTTGAATAAAAATGGCACTCCAATACTTGCATTAAAATCACTGTCCATTTCACTAATAATAGGAGGTTTTCTGGTGTGGCAAGCCATTCAAACAGGGCGGACCTATCAAATCTTATTGCATCATTTGATTTTTCTTCCTACCAATAGACATTGCTGTCCATCAGAAGAAATAATTAGTGTATTATGTATGGAAACGTCATCCTATCAGTTCAGTGCCTGACTTGAATAGCTCATATAAGCAACTCATTGATGCCATGCATGCTCACTGTCTTCAGATATGACACAACACTACACCCTTTGGGAGTTTCTCCCCTGTTCGCAAGCAGCATTTCACATCTGTGTTTGACAGAAGGAGAGAAGAGCAGACTGTTCAACAGCCACTACCAAAAGCAGGCTATGCAGGTGAAAAGTTAAGGCAAAACCTGGAGTCCAGTTACCCTGCCCTTCAACACAACCCACAGCACTGACATATACCGGATTTTCTGGAACAGGGAGAAGTTTTCAGTATTGGAATTCACATGACAAAAGCAAATGGGATTTACTGAGTGCTGAAGCCTTCAATTAACGTTTGATAAATAATGAACATCTGAATTAACCAGAATTGATGTGTTTGCCTCTATTGTTTGAGAAGATGCAAAGTCCACCACTCTTTTTCTTAGCCTCTTAAGAGAAGAATTCAAAGTACTATTTAGAGAGCGAACCCAAGGATTTGGAATAACTGGGAGTAAACTGGAAGCAAGCAGCAACAAAATGAAGCAGCACCAGCAAATGAGACAGACACAGTAGAGAAAAAGAAATGTGAAAGCTAGTGTGCAGAATGCATTTCTAATACAGAAAGCTTCCTACCTGGAGAGTGTATCTCAGTATTTGGAGACACAGAATCCAGAAACTGTCTTCAGTCATCTGCTGGGTAAGTTTTTATTTTTTTAATTAAGAAATATAGCTTTTCCAGTAAGAAGAAGATTGCTCTGATTTTGTGCCTACAGTATCAGTGAATTTCAGTTGTGTTTTCATTCACACCAAGGCTGAATTTTAAACCTTTAAAGGTATATTGTCTTGGATTGTACAAATAGCTGCTTTTATGTGTTATATTTCCCAAATTACCTTATTAAACTCTTCTCACTTGATTTGCCTATAATTGTTTGCCAAGATTCAAATTGCTCTCGATTGCTGTTTATCTGAGAGCTGGGAAATGTAGAAATAACAGCCAAATCTATAAAACCACACCACAGTTACTATTTACAAAGTAATATTTACTGCACTTCAATATTTAATGCAAGCTATTAAAGCAAAGAATTTAACACAATGGCAACATCAAATTTTAAAGGCATAATTTATTGCAGTCAAACCCATGCTTAAAATACACCAAGAAAAGAGACCAAAAGTGTCAATTATAGTTAGCTGTGAAACTATAGTAACTGATGTAAAAGCACTGTGTTAAAAAATGAAGGCTTGGCATACAGTTTAAATGCAAGTTGAGGATAAGAGTTCAGCAGCATTGCAAATGAGGTCTGAGCATATGCATTTTAATTCAAATTAGAATATAAAATGATCAAACCAAAAGAGGTGGATAGTGAAAGAGCACTGCTAAAATGGATTTATGTGGTGCACTGCACATCACTTCGTGGTTCAAATCTAGAACACTGATACCAGAATTCATTAGTTCAAAAACTAGGGCTGTTAGCCTACAATGGTTCTTGGTGAAGGTGTATATGATGACAAGTCTCCACGATCTTCATCTCTTCAAAAGCTGTTCAGTAAAACATTTGACAACTACTTAATACAAATATAAAATAAAAATACACACACTCTCTTAATTTTAAAGGAAACCCACTATATATTTTAATTATACAGCCTGTCTCTACTTCTTCTCTTTTATTTGTTTCTTTGCAAGAATCTCTTTTCTTCACATTTCTCACATACTCAAAGACTTAAGAGAGATTTTTAGTAGCTCACAAAGCAAACTTGACAGCTAACCTGAGGAGGAATGCCCAGATTGGGAGGGAGCTCTTGTACCATCAGGTGCCGAAGATTCTACCAAAATGCTGAGCTTGAGTCACTTTTAGGGGTTAATCCTCTTTATATTCTTACTAGCACTTCCTCTGTAACTATGCAATCCCTTCTGTCGACCTCTGTTACTCCTATAGTAACAGAGAGAAGTTTCTAGTTTGCATTCCTGTTCCAGATTTTTAACAATGATCTTAGTTTGAAGGACACAATGTTTTTGCTTGCCTACTGTACTTTCAGGTGTTTGTTTTAAGAGTTCTCCTCGGTACAACTAACATCCTCTGTCGCCCAGGGTTCCGTGGCAGCAGAAAAAACATAGCTGATACCAATGTGAGACAATCATTTACGAACCTGGGGCTCTTAATGCAATGGTGAAAGTGAACATGGGAAGCTGCCTTACACTGTAGTTGGATCTTGTGGTCTATATAGCTCAGTACTCCCTACACTGGCTTGCAGGAGCTCTCCGGGCTTTTGTATTTCCACACTCAACCTGGAGATGCTAGGGATTGAACTTAAGATCTTCTGCATGCAAAACATGTGATGGACCACTGAAATATAGCCCTACAGCAAAGCTTCCCGCAGTTTGCTCAATTATGAGCAGCAAATTACTGTGGAAATGATTTTCAGAATACTATGAAACACAATGTCCTGCACCTGTTCACCATTGCAAACTTCGGACAGGGCTAGAAACCTAACCTAAATGCAAAGAAAAAGATAAAAAGTTGCTGTTTGCCAAAGGTGTAAAACAACAGCTTGATGGTAGATAGCATTAAATATGCAGTGTTAAAAGGACTGATAAGCCAACTATCACATTCAGTTTGTAAAATAACAAAACTACAAACACATTTACAAAAGCAACTTGAAAAAGTTACAAAAAAACTTCTTTCTAAAATCCTATGCATTGTAAACTTCTATATTTTAAAATAAGAACACATTAAGTTGAAAGAAGGCTTTAAAAACAAAACAGTAGGCAACTAAATATAAAACGGCTTTACCCTTAAATTTAGGATACTCAATTGCTAAATGCTATCACTTGAGGACCAATAAATATCATGTAATGCACATCGCTAAGGGCTTGTTTATATTACCACCTAACAGATCTGATACACCAACCAACGTTCATGTCAGGTGCAATTAATAAATGGGTGTAGGGAAGAGACACCAGGAAAAACAAAAAAATATGCTAATTAAGTGCAATAATAATACTTACAAATCTGTATGTTTTTAAGCAGTACAATTTGAAGAATAAATATTCAACTTCTAATGCTACCTATACCAATTCTCAGGTGCTTCTGGTATAAGACCAGGAATGGGAAACCTATGACCCCTCAGATGCTGCCAGACTCCAACAGCTACCAGCCCACATGGTCAATGGTCAGTGATGATGGAACTGTAGAGCAGCAGCATCTTGAAGGGTCACAGGTTTCCCATCCTTGGAGTAAGCAGTGTGGGGCACCTGTTTCACGTCAAATTCAATGACGTACTAACCTGTGACTAAATCAAAGTATACACAAAGTTTTAAACAATGTTATCATCAAGGCATGGCACATAATGACCCAATTTAAACTGGCATCAAGATTCATTTTAATATGAATGTGAAACAGTGTCTAAACTGAAAGCATTTCAAAAGTACTTCACTTTTAACGGGTCCTTTGACTATATAATCAAAAGGTAAAATAGCTTGCTGGCTCCTTGGAAAAAGCTAATTCAAAGAATAGTTAACTGATCATTAGCTCAGCATTAACTGATCACTAGCTCAAGACAATTAGCTCAGCAAGTGGCAGAATCAGGAATGGCGTTCAAAGGTTTTTGCTTTCCATTTTCAGTCTAATACTACACTAAATATGACTGCTTATATATTACCATCTAATTATAAATCAAATATAAACAGACTTTTCCTGCTTTGTTTAACCTAAATTCCTTATTGTTTCTGAAACACTTCATGGTTCAGGACCCTCCAATCCATTTCTGCTGCAAGACATTAGTATACTGACTATTACCCCCGGCAGCAAGTGATTTGCCACCACAGGCAACTGAACATAAATTTCTCCATTATTATATCCAAAATTTCTAATCAATTTTCTTAACATCTATAATGCTTCATGTTGGTGCAGCTAAAATGTTTCAAAAATGGAAGGAAATCTGGGGGTGGAAGGAAGAGTTTAAGAAATGAAATGGTTCTATGAAAAAGGAGAATTCATGACACTGAAACAGGGGTGGGGAGTGAGGTCAGATTTAAGAAAGAACAGTGGCTTGAAGAAACTAGAACAAGAGAAATTAAACCCTCAAAACTGGCCACAAGCATCCTAGAATTAGATCTTCTGCACATCACCTAGCACTCTTGGTATCCAAGGTGGAAAAATTTCAGAGCTTCTCCTAGATGGTACCATCTACTTTCTGGAGCTCTGGTGATCTAGAGAGAAGTAACACTGAAGAATTCAAAGTGGGGAAGAACTTTTCTCAAAGATGTGGATAAATAAGGCAACCACAACAGCCTCTGAATTGACACTGGCAGGAAACTGGTCCTTTGCCATGTATACATTTTGCCAACAATTGCAAAATAAGTCCCTTTCCTTCTAAAAAGGTGTGGTTTCTTTCCTCATAAATCTATTACAATGGGGATTTTTTTAAAAAAGATAAAATTTAGTTTTTCTTTTAGAAAAGGACATGGTGGGTTGAATCCAGCAGGAGTGTTCCCTGAGAAGAATTTTGTCCGGAGGATACTCCCACTGGTAGAAGGGAGGAATAAACTTTTGTTGATTCTCCCCTCCAACTGTGCTCTTTGAAAATTTGCTCCTGACAGTTGGAATACCCTCCAAAGCTGATTTTCAGAGTGCACAGGCTGCTGTAAGGAAAGGGGGGAATTGGCAAGTGACCTCCCCTCCACATTGGATCCCAATGCCTTATCAAACACCTTCTGGGCATGGAAGGAGCATTTCTGTTCACTGGATGTGAGGTCTGGATCCAATCAATCCTTTTTCTTTAGCTATCTGGTAGTCCACTGAAATGAAATGTATACAATAGATAAATCGCTCTTTCTCACCCACAGCACAAAGTGTAAGACAAGTTAAGCCTTATTATTGGATGTGGTGAGTGTTAAGACCCTTAAAATGATCAATATTAATAGTTTTATAGAGAAATGACAGAAGTAATTTGCATTTGTCTGTCTCGAGAGCTCTGGGTGTGAAGTCAAATCACTACGTTAGCAGCACCAAAATGACCTCCCCAGGGCAAAAGCCAGCCTGAGCAGTGTATATGGCGGTCCTCCCAGGCTCAGCCTCGCTGATGTGGTCCAGAGGAAAGCAGAGCAATACGTTTGGCACCAGTTTGGTTACAGGTTTCCTAGATGGGCTACCTTCTTAGATTGATGAGTCTCATCTGCCCTGCCCCTACAACACATACAAAAACAGCCTTCTTGACTGTTGGACCCCCTATTAGTCTCCTCTACTCAATCCACTAGAGCCTGTCTTCGCATGCAGGGGAGAAGTAGAGTAAACTTACTGAAAGTCATGAGCATGATGATGTCATGAAGGCAATTAAGTTCAGTGGGTCTACTTGAGTAAAACTTAACTGAATACCACCCATAATGTCTTGTTACTATGGTCCAGCAACTTATACATAAATGGGAACTTAATGGACAGTAAACTGCACTCCTTAAAAGATGTCATGAACACCTGAGCGCAAAATTGCATTCTTAAGTTCATGTCACTTCTGTTTTGAACTGGCAATGCTTTACTCTTTTAACAATAAGATTAATCAGAGCATAGGTGCTTAACTTGCACATGGTTCCAGAACTGCAGACCATTTGGTTTCCAATTGGAAACTGAATCTAAGAATCCATACATCCAAGGATCCTAAGCCTACAGCAATTATGCAAATGAAGAACCATAGTTCTGTAGTCTC